GATGAAATCCCAATTGTTCATTTTTGCCCTTGCTTCCCTTGCCTTTGGCGATGTTTCTAGGAAGAAGTTGCTGTGGCTGAGGTCGAAGACGTTGCTGCCTGTGTTCTCCTTTAGGATTTTGATGGACTCCTGTCTCACGTTTCGGTCTTTCAACCATTTGGAGTCTATTTTTGTGTGTGGTGAAGGAAATGGTCCAGTTTCATTCTTCTGCACACCACATCTTCTTTAATTGGAATCATATTCTATGTGACCTTTTGTGTCTGGCTTTTCCCACTTTGCATAATTAATGTTTTTGAGGCTCCCTTATATTGTAGTATGTACTCAGCGCTCCACTCCTTTTCATGGCTGAAAAGTACTCCATCGAATGGAATATTTTGTTTCTCCATTCACCTGTTAATGAACATTTGTGCTGTTCCCATTTTTTGTCAACTAGGAACAAGATCGACATCCATTTTTAAAAAATTAACTCAGGTCATCCATTCCTTCACTTGCCCCTCTGCAGGGATGGACGTTGGGGTCAGGTATGGGGCTGAGACGCCCTGGGCAGTGTGTCAAGAAGAGAGCCAGGGCGGGATCAACTTTGGTCATGGGGAGTGAGGAGGAGACACAGCTTCTCAAATGTCAGCTTGTCTGACAATCACTCTGTTCCACCTTCAGGTTTCTGGACCCTGCAGTAGGCCTCCCAAACTAGCCAGAGGGAAGGGAGATATTCGGTCCTCTTTTTTAAAAAAATGTATTTCCTCCTTAGCTCTTTTCGCAGAAATTGTCATTGTTATTGAAATGCTCGCTCCCTTGAGCTTCTTCGATTATTTAGCAAGAATTGGGGTCGCTTTGGTCTTAGCAACACCTGGCTTGGAGGATGGGCTTCACACAAGCTTTCCCATAGTGCATTTGACTGATTGTGCTTTACTTTTTATTTTGGCAATGAACGGGCAAGAAAAGGGCTTTGGGGGAACAGTGAGGTTCCTACCACGTGCCCTAAAACCTGATTATGCATTCCTTTCCTAGACAAAGGTGGGGAGAGGAAGGTGCTCGTTGTCTGCTCCTCATGCTTCTATCTGATGTCTTCAAGGCGGGTGCTGCTAGACTAGTTTTTGCATTTATAAGAAGAGTTGTAGTGCAGTAGGAGGGCTTTGGGTATCTGTCATCTGGGGTCATAAAGGGACTGGCTGGCAAGGACCTCCCTGTGGAGCTCATTACCTGAAATCTTGGGCCCACTTCTCACCACCTTCTCCTTCCTGGCCTATCCCCTCCAAGCCCTGCTTCTTAGAAGTAAATGAGGGTTAATTAGATGCATGACTTCCTGCTACTGTATCAGCTAGTTAATGTCACCACATCCAGATGAAAAAATGCTTAACATTTAAAGGAGCTTTGTTAGTATTGAGAGTTTCAAGCTGGCCACCTACATGGGGGGGCAATTATTAAATAAGGCTTAATATATAGTCCAGCAATTGTACTCCTTGGTATTTACCTGAATGAACTGAAAGAGTTATGTCTACACAAAAACCTGCACACACATGCTGATAGCAGCTTTATTCATTATTCATAATTGCCGAAACTTGAAAGCAGCCAAGATATCCTTCTGTAGGTGAATGAGGACAAACAAAATGTGGGCCATCCAGACAATGGAATATTATTCAGGGCTAAAAAGAAATGAGCTATCCAAGCCATGGAAAGACGTGGAGGAATCTTAAAAGCGTATACGGAGTGAAAGAAGCCAATCTAAAAAGGCTGTGGACTGTGTGATCCCAACTGTGTGGCATTCTGGAAATGGCAAAAGACTATGGAGACTGTAAAGAGATCAGTGGTTGCCAAGGGTTGTGGGGAGGTAGGGATGAATAGGCAGAGTACCCAGGATTTGTGGGGCCATGAAACTACCCTCTAATGATACCAGAATGGTGGATACCTATCTTTATGTATTTATATAAGCCCATAGGATGTACAGCACCAAAACTGATCTCTAATGTAAACCATGGGCTTCAGATGATAATGGTATATCAATTTATTGCAACAAATATGCTACTGAGGTGTGGGGTGCCCATACTGGGAGTTTGTGCAAGTCTGGGGCACAGGACTTCTCTGTACTTTCTGCTCTATTTTGCTGTGAACTTTTAACTGCTCTAAAAAAAAATGTAACATATGCCTTCGAAGGCTATATTAGTTTCTTGTTGCCACCGTAAGAAAATACCACAAATGTAGCAGCTCAAAAGGACATACATATGGGATCTGATAGTCCTGGAGTTCAGAAGTCCAAAATGGTTCTTCCTGGGTTACAGTTGAGGTGTTGGCTGGGCGGCATTCCTTCCGGAGGCTCTAGGGGAGGGTCTGTTTCCTTGCTGTTTCCACTTTCTGGAGGCCACCTGTATTTCTTGGTTCATGACCTTTCCTCCATACTTCAGGCCAGCCCGGCAGCATCTTCCAGTCACTTACTGACTGTGACCTCTGCTCTTGTCATCACATCTTCTCTCTGACTCTGACTCTTCTTGTCGTCTCCTAAGAACCCTGGAATCACATTGGCTCTGCCCAAATCATCCAGGATAGGCTCCCCATCTTAAGGTCCTTAACTTCATTACCGCTGCAGAGTCCCTTTTGCCACATAAGGGGGACATAGTCACAGGTTTTGGGGATCAGAATGTGGCTGTCTTTGGGGGGAGGTCATCATTTTGTCTCCCACATACACCCTCTAAATAGCTTTTCTTTGGGCCCTGTTGTCACTTCGGACAGGCAACCTGGTTCTATTTCACAATTGTTCTTTGGTCATTTTTTCCAGTTTATGTAGGAGGTCAGGAGTCTGGTGAGGAAAAGAAATGAAGGAAATCCAGTTGGGTCCTGGATTTCACTGGAAGGATAGAGAACAGTGATGCTCGAGGAGGGGCCCATCTGAATCACCCAGCATCCTCTTCTCTTTCAAGCATCCCAGCATCCCAACACCCCTCCGTTGAGAGGCACATCTCTTCCACTCTACCTCCTGTCACTTGTCCGTGGGAACATTTTGTATTTCTCATCTGCAGGGGCAAGGAAGAAGTTGGCGTCCAGGGATGCAGAGGGATGGAAGGGGTCTTGGGCAGAAGACGTTCAACTTTGTGTGGAAGAGGTGGATGGGGAGCTGAGGCTGAGGAAGCGCCCCCTCCCCGCCCCCCCTCCCCACCCCGCCCCGTGGCATCCACAAGAATGGGATGCGGGGGGGGGGGGGGGGCGGGGATTAGAGGTTGAGAGGAGTGGCCTTCCTGGATGGTGCCGCCTTAGGGTCGCTGATGGTGGGGCTGTTTGTGAGGCCCTGGAATGTGCACACAGAGAGGTTGCTGGACAGGTGTGGGCAGGTCCTCCTCAGTGCAGAGTTTACCATGAGCAGCAGCTCCCAAGGGCTCTTGAGTTCTAAAGCTAGTGAGACAAAAGAGTCTGGGAAAGGGATGGGTTAGGCTGTGGCATGGGGAAGGAGCCCACAAGCTTCCTTGGATGATCTCATGGAGCTGAACTGATGAGGCATTTTCTTTCTGGGAGTTTCTGAGGCAGATACAATCTTTCCGTGGGTGGCACTAAGACTTTTGCCGGGAGAATGGGGCCCAGAGCAATGACGATGTGTGGATGACGGTTGGCAGAAGGAAAATTACTTTCTGCGTGGATTTGTTCTTTATTGTTGCTTTTGTAATACGTGGTTCTGTCACTCCAAATGTTATTTTGGAGACGGGTGATGCAGATGTTTTTTTTTTTTTAAGGCAGGGCATAATTAAATCATTTTTAGAAACCCATTCAACATCTTACATGTCAGTGATGACTGTCATATGGTTACGATGAGTAGTGGGTTTACTCTTGCCAAGATGTCACAGCATCTTTAAGAGTAAACAGCCGTGGATGAGTGTTTAATTCAGTAAACACTGGAGAAGTTTTATCCAATTGACCTCACTGAGATTTGGGTTCAGCTTCATTTTTCTCTTCCCTTTCATGGTTCTGCCCTCATTCAGGTGATTATGGTCCTACTGGCTCAGGTCCGTGAATCTGCCATTTATTGGCGACGTGACCTCCTGCACGTTATCTTATTACTTCTAGATTCAATTTCATTATCCGTGGATAGCAACAGAAAACAGCATCTGCCTCCCGGGGTTGTGGCAATGATAAAAGAAGATCTCAAAGATCTATTTCCCTGGACGTAGTAGGTGATCAATAAATATTAGTTCCCCTTCTTTCCTTTTAGAGATAACAAAGTTGGCAAGGCCAAGCTGACATTGATCAGCAGTTGTCTTCAAATAATATTTCAAAGGCTGCCATGTATCCTAGAGGAAAGATACCTTCTTTGGTGCTCCAGAGAGTGGACGTAGAGCTAACAGGTAAAAATTGAAGGGAGACAGATGTGTGTGATACACGTCTACTGTGACAACCAAAAATGTCTCCACACATTGCCAAACATCCACCAGAGGGTAGAGTGGCCAGGGGTTGAGACCCACCGAGTTAGAGGCTAGATGAGAGCAAACTGGACTCCATCCTCCCAACGTCACCTCCATCCTGTGCCATATTGGGTTCCTATGGCATTCTGGTGGTGGTTTTGTGGTTTGAGAGAGTACTGAATGCTGAAGACAAAAGGCCTAACACTTGTGTAGGGTTCGGTTTGGGCCACAGAGAGCAACTGAAGTGGGCACTTGGAAGGCCTTTTGGGGTTGTGGTTTGTTTAATGGTTTGTTCACTGTGGTTTTGCAGGTCATGTTAGCAGCTTCCTATTGGTCTCTCCTGGCCCCAGCTGTTGAGATGGCCACGTCCTCCGGGGGCTTTGGTGCCTTTGCCTTCTTCCCCGTGGCCATTGGCTTCACCCTCGGAGCTGCTTTTGTCTACCTGGCTGACCTCCTGATGCCTCACCTGGTGAGTACCGCTCTTCAGACTTGACGTACCTACTCATGGCTCTGTTGAGTAGCCAGTGATATAGAAATAGATATTTCAAGCCATTTAGGGCTTTTACCTAGAATTTTACCGTGAATTGGGACTTTTTTTTTTTTGTCCTAAAAGAAAATAAGCTCTTGGTTATATGACTAATCATCCCCTTAGTTACATTTTGCTAAGTTCAGATTTTAAATGTCAGATTTCATTATAAATAGAGAGCGCAGCTGACGTACCGTGTGGCACTGTTTCTGAGCGGACCTAGCAACTGGGAGAAGTGAGTGATTATGATGATGGTCTTGACCCTTAGGAGCCTACACTGTCATCACGAAGATGATGACACACCCAACTATAGCATAAGATCATTGACAAAGTGTCACATCGGCAAGGGCTTATTAACAGGAGGATGAGGTGGGGACATTGGGCAGCAGAGCCCTGAGTTCAAGTTCACTTCTGCTGTTGCCTGGTTGTGTGCCCCTTGGCTCCAGTCTTCCTCCCTATAGCTTGAGAATAACTCCCTTTAGGGGCTGCAAAGTAAAAACTTAAACATCTAACAAGGCACCAGAATTGGGGGCAAATCAGAGATTTTAGGCTTTTTTACTGAAATGGGGCTGGTGGGTTAGGTTTGGAGGATGACCATGTACTTACTTGCTCACGTGGAAGCATGGTACGAACCACAGCCTGAAATCTGGCCATGAAATCGTAACCGAATGCTATTGGCTAAAATTAGGTAGTGTGCATATGCTATGTGTAGAGAAGGGTCAGTGTCTGTAAGAAGCCAGTACAGGAACACAGAGCCTTACCCAACCAGCCCTAGAGGTCGGCAGAAGTCCTCTGTGATATCTGAGCTGGTGCTTGAATTCTCTGTTCACCCAGAAAGAGAAGAGGCACAAGAAGGACTCTGTAGGGGAGAATGGGTTTGGAAGTCGTTTCTTCTGTTGGACTGTGACGAGCTAGGATCAGGTCAGGCTCACTGGAGTCGCTGGACATCTAGCCCAGGTCTAGATGTCCAGAATGTCAGCCCTAGTCTGACATTCTCTTCCCTGCCTGTCTGCCTTCTTTGCTGCTGTAAATTCCTGACCAAAGAGAAGGAAGGGTTCTTGGGAACTTGTCCTTGGGGCCGATGAGAAATTGATTCCTCATGTCACAGAAAGACCAGCCTCTGGACCAGATAGCTGGTTGTGACAGTTGGATGGAGAGTCACAACACTGTCTCAGAGCAAAGACCATGTGTCATTTTTTTCATCATGAGCTTAAATGTCAGTGTCAGTTTCTGGCCCCTGAACCCTTGGCTTCCTTGCCATTGATTATATCGGCATGATAGGAACTTCCAGAGGTCCTCTGTGTGGGCTGCCATATTCTGCTCTCAGATCCACCCTGGTCATGTGTGAACTTGCCGTTGGGATGTATTCTACTTGCCCTGGCAGGAAGATCTTACAGCCAATGGCCTTAACTCTCAGAACAGCGGACCAGGGGCTGGCTCAGCGGCTCTGCATAGCCCCCATTGGGTCTCAGTCTGCCTTTCCTACCTGGGCTCAACTGGGCTTCTAAGACTGTGTCTCGTGGAGGGCTCTTTGCAATCATGATGTGTCACTGCTCACCGGTACTGGGGGCGGGGACGGGGGCAGGTATATTTGATCAGCTGTCTGAATGTGGGGACTTTCTCTGGGCAGTGTAAATAGTCATTGACCAGTTTGTACTGGGCCAGCATCATTGTTTTAACCTTTTGCTTGGTGTTTGTTCTAATATATGCTTTGAATATGGAGAAGATCCCAAGGGAAAGTTGTGGACAGACTGCACAGAAAATTAGGAATGGCTTGGGAGTGGTGGCTGAGCGTCCAGGGAGAGAGTTGGAAGGGGCTTGAGTATGGACATGATAACCATGAATGCCCAGAACCTCGCTAATTGGCAGAAAGATCAGCCTGACAGTAAACATCTGTTCTAGGACATTTGAAAAGAAATTAATTTTTGCTGTTGATGTGAGAAGGGGAATTTGTTCTGGAAGGTCTATAAACAGATAAGAATTATTTATAAGTGCTACAGGCACTGAATACGGATGTTGCTGTTGAGAGTCGCAAACTCAGGCCACCGTCGCTCTGAGACAGCATGAGGTTCCCCTAGGTTTCCCTCTTAATGTGCTTTCCAAACCCAGAAAGGGCAGCAGCGTGGATCTAGCGAAGGTGCTTCGTGGAGTGTGAGTTAATGGGTTGTGATATTGCGTCCATGTGATTATCCGACCCTGCCTGAGCACCCACAGGGAAGGTAGTCTTCCCAGGCAGCCGGAAGCCGGTTTGAGAACCTAGACTCTTGGGTTTGTGGGAAGGAGATGGTTAACCACCAACTCTGGTCTCCCAACTCTATTTCTGTTCGTTCAGCTTTTCAGATTTATCTGTCCCCCTGTTTGAGCCGAAGCAAAATACTGCTCATGAAAAGGGTTTTACTCATAACAGCCTGTCAGGTTGAACCCGTTGCGGCTTTGTTAACTTCAGATACATCAAATTGCTCTCTGAACTGGGTATTTGTTTTCGTTTCTTTATCTGCGAATAAAGTAGAGAAGGCTCAGGCAGTAACCGTTAATGGGAAATGAGCTTACAGAGATTTATGGAGATTTTGCCAAATGGTATCTTAATGGGAGAGGGAAAGAGGCAGGGGGTAGGCACGGAGGTAGCCAGCTGCTGGACCCCAGGAAGAGGGCTGCCGAGAGGGGGCTGTTGGGGAATGTGACTGGGGCCAGCCTGAGCCCAGGCTTTCCCTCCGGAGGCCCTAGGGAGAGACAGAATGGATAGTAAATAGCTGTTTGGAGACACTGACGTTTTTATGATCTTTGCAGTTCTGCTTCTGTATGAAGTTAAGGATGACAGTAGGTGGGTGGCCTTTACCTTGAGTTTAGAGCAGTATTATTTTCTAGTGGTGGGTAGAAGGGTAGGGTTGGGAAGGACAGTAGGGTGTGTGTTCCCAAGGCCTCCTGTCTTTCTTTTTAATCATATTAGTATTACAACGATACAACACAAAAATCTCATCATAAAAACTAAAAAAAAAAGAAAAAAAATTATGTGACGGTCCCTTCCTGCTATGGACTTATGTCCCCCTCAAATTCATATGGTAAAATTCTAACCCTCAGTGTGATGGTATTAGGAGGTGGGGCCTTCCGGAGGTGATCAGGTCATGGGTGTGGTGCCCTTATGATGAGATTAGTGCCCTTGTAAAGAGGTCCCCAAGAGCTCCCTGTTCCTTCTGCCATGTGAGGACACATGGTGACACATGGATGCTGTCTGTGGACAACAAACCAAACACAATTCTGCCAGCCCTTTGATAGCCTTCCAGCCTCCAGAACTGTAAGATAGACATTTCTGTTGTCTATAAGCCACTCGGTCTATAGTAATTTTTTTAACTAAAAAAATTTTTATTTATATATTTTTTTCAAAAGATTTCATTTATTTACTTAAGAGAGAAACCAAGAGACAGAGCACAAGTGGAGCGGGAGGGGAAGAGGGAGAGGGAGAAGCAGGCTCCCCACTGAGCAGGGAGCCCGACGCGGGGCTCAAACCCCGGCCCCGGGATCATGACCTGAGCCAAAGGCAGATGCTTAACCGACTGAGCCACCCAGGAGCTCCTGATTTTAATAGATTTTATTTTTTTTTAGTAACCTCTACACCCCACATGGGGCTCGAACCCACAACCCCAAGATCGAGTCACACCCTCCACTGACTGAGCCAGCCAGACGCCCCCTAGAGTAATTTTTTATAGCAACCCCGAAGGGACTTAAGACACTTCCACCTTCCTGTCCTATCCCCAGACCAACCATTGTTATCAATTTAGTGGGTATCGTTCCAGATTTTTTCTCTTTTCTTTAAGAAAATGAACTATGTTGTGTCTTTCAAACGCTGAAATGTAAACGCTTTCCCCATTTGCTTGTATTGCTCGAGCGCGCTTTAGATCCGCTCTAGAGAGATCCAAGCTCTGCCTCATTTCAAGCTCCTTTCTCTTGTGTGCGCGTGTGCAATGGGTTTTCACACCATCAGAACCGGTGTGTGCATCCTCTTGTGTGTTATTTTTACATTTGAAGTGACTTTTACCTACAGTCATTCTAGTACCTGTGCAGCGTCCCACCACCTTACTGTATGTAGTTCGCCTGATAATTTCCCCATCATCAAGTAGCTGGATTGCGCCAGGCCTTTATATATGTATCTATGTACATCTGGAAATGTAATTTTGTTTTGTGTTTTCTGAAAAACACATGGTAACATACTGTCTGTGTTGTTGCTACTTGCTTTTTTCAGTTTGCTTTCCGTCTTGGCAGTCTCCCCGGGAAATATGTGCTCCCACCATCTCCCTCCCCTCTCTTGGGATGTGACATCTTGAGGAGGCCGCCCAGGGACTGCCGGGGATAGGGGAAGGTGGTGGGTCTCGGCGATTCCGTCTGAGATCTCTCATCTGAGAGAGAGTGGCTGGTGGTCCTGCCCAGTCAGGCCCCGGGGGGCGGCAGGGCCGATTCGCAAGTGGTGGGGGGTACTGCCTTCTCCGCTCCCTCCTTAACTTGTCTGTGTCCTCAGTCCTGTTGTTTCTTCTCTTTGTTGTCTCTGTAATGGCAAAGAAGATGCTTCTGCTGAAAACCTGAGCAAGCGGTGTGTGCCCGTACTTTTAATATGCGGCCAACGTTGGCTGATGTCAGTATTGGTTGGCTGGGGTTGCTATGAGGGGCCCACCTAGGACAAGTGTCTGGAAGCGACACAGGTTGCAGGAGGCCAGTATTTTTCCCACAGAGGGGGTGTTTGGGTATTTTTTTGTCCTGTATAGGTTCTCTCCATCTTTAGCATTCTGATTCTACTTCAACTAAAGAATACCCTTGCAGAGAAAAGATGGGGTTGTGGGGGGTGAGGGGATGGCAGGAATATCTTACAGAACGCCACATGGAGAAACTGCTGTGGTAACCCCCTGAGAGCCTGTAGCGGAAGCCTGACGTTGTCTGATAAGCCCAACTAGCTT